CGGTCGGTCACACCACCACACATTGAAGCGCGTCAACTTCGACCGCACAAGCGTCAACCGTACCAAGACCCGTTATAGGCCGGGTTTACTGACCGCTACCACTATAACCTCACTGTTTAAACACCAACATATACGTTTCGGGTTTAGGGTTGCCACCGCGTACCCATGCACAAAATGCCAATGTACACCCACGGACACCATATCACATTTATTCATCACAATATGTGGCGACACATCAGCGTCAACACTAACCTGAACCACCCAAAGTATAAACATCCCACCACAGTTGACTACACTCCCTGCAATCCTGTACCCATCATTCCTAAGTTCCACCATACCAACACGTGCCGTCACTCACATAGCAAAAACCTGTTAACTAATTGCACCTTGTTGTTGCTGTACGACGGGCACACGTGCACAACTCTCTGCAGGCTGCCCAGCTCCACCACCGAATACCTCACCTTCTCCACTTTCTTGTGCAGCTGCGTGCACCCTGTAAGCTTGCAGCTTCCCGCCCTCTCGTAGTACCTCACGTATGCGTATCCCTTCCACTCCCCATCACGGTCAAGCGCCCTGAAGATGCACAGACATCTTGCATACCAGTCCCCCTTCTTGTTGTTCAGAAGTGCCACGTTCGAGTACCACCTCTCTCGTGGAGATGCCTTCACAAACGTCCCTTTGGCCACCAGCTCGCCGCCTCTTGTGCGCGGAATGGCCACCGCGGTGTGGACCTGTCACGCGGTTGTGTACAATCCAACATCTCTTAGCATCATGAGTGCAGTGGCAACCAACGTGCAAGCCCCAGGTGCGAGATGTATGTGCGACAGCATTATCACCACACCTGCACGTTGTTGGTAGCCAGGTCCAACGCCTTAAACTCCGCGGCCATCCCCTTCATCTCGTCTCCAAGCGCGGCTGTGTACTCATCGTACACCGGATCCGACGCCCCGCCTATGCGCATGATCCGATACTTCTTTGTAAGCACCGGTTTCCTCGTCTTGATTGCCTGCACGTGTACAACCACGTTCCCACAACAAGCCGCAACCTGCCTCAGGCTCCGCTCGTACATGGGCACCCGTGCAACATTACACAATGAATGGCCATCGTAGCACCAACCACTCCCCTACGCACCTCGCGCAATGCAGACGCATACTGCCGCCCACCGCCGGCGTCTGCAGCCACCTCACGGTACACCTCTCTCTGCACCTCCTCCTCCACGATTCGGCGCGGAATGTCGCTCCAGTTGCTCCCTCTAACTGGACCCTTGACCGTGCCCTTGTGCGTGCGCTCCCACATCTCAGTGGAATAATGGTGCGGCATCCCGCGCTCCACCACGTTGTCCAGTAAATGTCTTATCATGTGTATCTTTGGTAGTCTCCAGTGGGATGCCTGCTTTGGAAATGCTCTCGGGAGCAACGCCACCAACCTGCCACATCGTCCACGATGGCAGGCAACAGTCAATGCACACTCGTGTGCCACCCGACGGCCGCCACAACAAACCCACCGCAATTCCGACCAGCGATGCACCTAATGCACACACTTACGCTATCGCATGCTGCCGTGCAATCGCAATGGTGGTATGTGTGTGCCGGTCCACAGCCAGAAACGCCTTGTAAAACACAGCAAACAGCCTGAACGCTTTGACCTGCAACGCGCGCAGCTCTCCCGGTTCATCACCCTTCAACGCGCTCTCGTCAGCCACCAAGATCGGCATTATCTGCATCATGCTCCTGTGCTCGAACGCAGCGTAGTTTGCGCCGGAACTGAAGAACGATGAGCCCCCTGGGATTCGGAGGAGCACGCTAGGCGTGATGGCCTTAAACTCCTTCTTGCGTCTGCGCACACCAAGTATTCGACGTGCCCATCAGCGCTGCACACATGGTGTACTACAACCCAAATGACCCCACCAGGATATGACATGCAGGCTACAGTCTGCTCACCGTTCAAGCGTCCGCATCTCAACCTTCCCAAGCGGTTCGATGTAGGTGTCCATCATGTGGATCAGCACACCGGAGTCCAGAACATGCAGTGTGTCTGCAAGGCATGCCAGATACACGTTGCCCCACTCTGTGTCCGCGAAATTCCACCTGTGAAGTACGCACTGCAATGTCCAACCAAAGACACCACCGCGTCATTAGGTTCCACCGTACACTACAGGCACGCAAACGCCCTCAGGGTTTAGCCCACCTCGATCGGATGTGTTGACCATAGCCTCCGCACGGCGTCAGCGTCGCCCTTCTTCTTACACGCCAGGATCTGGCGGACAATGTCCCTCTGCATCTCGGGGGTACGCGGATCGGCCTTCCCCACCATCATGGTCAACTCCCCCTTGTCTGCATAGCAGTTAGCGCACGGCCGGTGCGTCCCCTGCTGAAGAGTCGCAGAAGCTCTGCTGGACTCCGGAAAGTCGGCAGGGTATCCGTACAGGCAAGGGACCGCTTTGTGCACCTTCCCGTCCGCGTCCGTGCAGTAGAAGAAGCGAACTGGCCCGCTGCACATTGTGACGATGCACACGTGGCCGTGAGTTAGGTTAGGAACGTACACACAATACGCGGTCATAACACGGGGCAATATCTGCTGGGGTCCCCACTGGCCTGCTGCTCGTGTAGCATATGCACCTCAGTACCTTGCAGATTCTCGCATGATGGGCGCGAGGATGATCTTCAATGCCTCCTGGAAAACCCGCGTCTTCTCCGTGGGCGATGCCCATTCGGGTGGGAATGGCAGCACCGCCGCCAACGTGTGCCCAGGCTCCACCCCACGTAATTCCGCTGGTATGTTGATAAGCGAGATCAGCACCGGCCACGCGTTCCTCCGACCATTCCGTGATGCCTGGGTGCTATCACTGTATATCAGCACGCCTAGTATGAGTGCCTCACTGTCATTAATCTCCTTCTGCCATGCCAACCATACATGCCCTTGCACAAATGTTAGACTCCGTCTTATAGCATTCTGGGACTCACATGTAATGTGGACTGGCCTACTGATGCACTTACCTGAGCAGCGTGCATCCAATCGCCCGTCTCCGGCCCCTCGAATACCCTCTCGCCATTCTTCTTCCGATGAATCTTCTTAGGTTTCCACACGAACCCTTTCTTGGATGAGAACGTCCGCACCAGCTTCTTCAGAATCTGCGCGCATCGGGATATAATCAGGAGTGAGCGGCAAGATTCCTTCCTAGTGACGACGACGGGGGATGCGGGTGTGGCCGCCGTTTACGAACCAGCTCTGTGTCGCGGTAGTGCAGTAGCAGCTTCATTTGCATTCCTTTGGGGCCCCGCACCACTATCTCCTCCGTTTTCCACGGGACCATGTCTGCTGGAGCGCGCGCCATTCCCCATCGGCGCACGTCCACCCAGTTGCGCCATCGTCGGAGGGCCCGTAAGTTGAAGCGCGGGTTGCGGAAAATGTGTAACAGACGGTTAACTTCCCGGTGCGAAAGATCGGCGTCACGGAAGAATAGATACAACTCGGTCAGTGTGTCGAAAATCTCCGCCCTCTCGCTGTGTTCCGATGACTCCGCATTCTCGCCGTCAGCTGGTGTATCCGCGACGCTAACCAGGCTAACTTCGGGAATAGAGGCGGTCGGAGCAACCGATACAACACTGCCGTCATTATCCTTAAGCCGCGATGCGGGCGGTGTGTTTGGTCTACTCTCTCCGTCACGGGCAATTGCTTCCAAATATGCCGCCAACAAAAGACTCTCCCGTTTCCTCTTCAACTCTGCGCGACAAATTGCACCGTTAGCGACATGTGACTGTAACCGGCTGTCGTCCTTAAACACCGTCTCGCACACCATGCAACTGTTCCCCGTCATCCTGCAACCTTGAAACCCTAGAGACCGTGGCGATAGAAACTCGGACTGGCCACAGGTGTGCTCTAACACAACTCAGAGGATCAACATGGTGCACACTCATGTGCACAGAACCTTGAAAAGTGTGCACATACCATCTGTTCGATTGTCACCGGTAAACATTATACACCCAACCATGATGCACAACCATATTATAATTGCAGAATGTGTAACGGTGGTCCGGTAAATAACACTCCCCGTTTTTGACCCGGAATTATCAGCGCGTTAATTAGTACGACCAGAAATAGAAATAGCCAATAACTGACGTCGTGGGATTGTACACAGTTGGCTCCATAAGACGTTGTGTATTGTTTTTGCACGTCATATACCCGTTATGCATATTGCAATATTGTTTACGACAACCTACAAATTTTACTTCCGCTTTTAAGAGTACACGACTACATCGTGTACAACCCATACTTAGTGCGCGCTGGTGGCCCAACAACCCAAGTGCTGACGTCCGCGTACGCCGTTATCGGATTCCGCGTCACTTGGATTGTACAAGGAAAACCAAATGGTGTTCCATGCACCAGAATTGCTGACCCACCCTAAATCTCGCATCCTCGTGTTCCGAACCCCTTGGTTTACAACACGTGGATATGCATGCTGCCTCACCATCACATCCAGTCTCGTTATCGAGTCACATGTGGACATCGCATGCGCATCTCATCCAACGGTGTATACCATTTCGCCTATGCATGCCCAACACCCACCAGGTTATAGGCGACATCTTGGCCCACCCGTCAATCAGAGTAGTTCCCTCCAGGCGAGATCCGTGAGTGGCTGTGTTCTCCCAGTCATCCCCTCCGTGCTCACCTCGTATTAAGGCCGGCCTCCTCCGCATGGTATTCAGTGTCCGTTCTTGATGGCGATTCCTAAACAGTCTGTCTCTAAGCGCAACCGGTTCCATGAACCGGAGACTAGCAGCAGCGGCGATGACCAAGATCCTGACCCGTCTGTTCCCAGAACCAGAGCGTCGACCAAGGGCGACAAAAAATCACCTCCGTGTCCGCCGACAAAGGACGGCGGAAGGGCTTCTAGGTTCGCGACCCATGTCGTGGAAAAGGCGACAGAGCCGGTGCCGGACGATGTGGTGGCCGCTATCGCCCGGAACTATGCGAAATCATCTTACCGCAACATCAGGCTCATGAATCACCGCGGTGTCGGATGTGAGGTGGACAAGGACGACTTCATGTCGATCGAGGACGAACAGTGGATCACCGATGGCGTGGTGGACTTTCACAACGTGTAAGTACCGTGCTGACAGCCCCGCACATGCGCGCGCTTTTGTACGATTTTCTGCGCATCTCACTGTAGCACGGTGTGTTAACTTGTTCGTGTTCACCTCTGCGCAGGCTGCTTAGCATCAGGAAGCCGTCGCTCCGCGACGGCAAGACATGGGCCGCCATGGACTGCAAGGCCTATTCACAGACGACAGCTGCGCATGGAGTGCCGTTAACGCTGGGGAGTGGGCGGCCGATTTTGGAACACGATTATCTTGCGATCCCGGTCCTAGAGTCGTGAGTGTACTCATCTTACCAGTGTTCCCGGTTGGTTTCCGTGATGTGCAACCGACTGCTGTTTAACACCGATCCCGTTTCACCCCAATCTTCTTGCGCGCAGTGAGCACTATTCCCTCGTCATCGCTATAAACCCATCGGTGCTCACCAAGACGCAGAGAACCAAGGGCAAGGAGCGCCTGACTTTGGTCTTGCTGGACAACGCGATCAAGAATCGAAATAGCCACAAGATTTTCGCAGGCACGAAGCTGTGAGTAGGGGTTTCGGCATAACGAAGCGCATAGCATATACGTCCATGCTCAATTTTGTTAATACCGGACGAACTCTTGTATGCAGGTTGCTGTCCGAACTCGCAAAGGCGAGTAACCCAAACGCTAACATGGAGGTTGTGGACAGGACGCTGAGCGCGGCGGACTGCGTAATTCTACGGGTGAGTACGCCTCGTTCGTTCTGTACACAGCTGTGCTGGTTGCATACACAGGTGTGCATACTGATAACTTCGGTATTCGTTACCCTTATGACAGGAGGATAAGCTGCCACAGCAGCCGAACAAGGAGGACTGTGGGATTTTTGTTTGTCAGTACCTCAAGACCCTGGTGCATACCGACTTCGCCACGGTGTTTTCGGGCCTCTGGTTCCAGGGTGTGACACCGCACCAATACAGGCGGGAGATGCGCCGAGACTTGTGTGCACACGCTGGCGGAGAGCTTCTGAAACAACTACAGGAACTGGGGATTGAAGTCCCGCCGCAAGACGAAGGCCTGGTTACCGCAGAGGGGACAGTGGTGCAGGTGAGAAACACTGCGGAGGGAGATGGGAGGCAGGCGCCAAACACTCGCCATGATGAGGACGCTCGGTTTACGGAGATGACGAGGCGCATAGCATCGCTGCATAACGATGTGAGGTACCTGGACGCCAGCTTCACCGTGATCGCCAACTTCGTGGGCCTGAGCCGGGACGAGGTGGTGTCCGCTGCAACCCAACTGCTGTTGCATGGAGGGGTCGCGGGGAACGGCACGAAAACAGAGGCGGGTGGCAACAAGCATGCGCCACGCACACCCCAGCGTCCGTCTGCCCGGAAGAGGCGAGATGACAGCAGTCCTGAGGAGGACGGCGTGCGCAACCTCACCCAGGTGGCGCTGGCCTCCACGTTCGCCGCATGTGCGCCGACACCGAGCCTGCTGCAGAACCCGCTGATCTCGAACGGGGCCATACCTCCCTGGATGTTGACGCGCCCGCGGCTGCTGTCCGGCACGGGTGTGCCAGCTGGACCTGACGTGTGGGGAGACAGGCTTGGGCAGGAGACGGCGAAGGCCGACGAAGAGGAGGATCTCGTGTCAGACTCAGATGACGAGGACGGTGGCGAAGATACATGTGCAACCAGGTACACGGGTGTGAAGCTGGATCCGAACACCGGCAAGTACTGCGTCAAGATTCTGTTTAAAGAACGTGGGAAGCGCAAGCAGCAGAGACTGGGAGGGTACACCACTGAGGAGGAGGCGGCATTTGCATACGCCGCCGGTGCGTTCGTGCTGAGGCCTAGCGAGAGGATACCCAACACCGTCAGCCTGTCGGCCGCAGAGAAGGCAACGCTGCGGGGGTGCACCAAAGAAGATTTACAGACCCTGGTGGAAGCGAGGAAGTGGTGGAGGTGGAGGAGTTGGCGTGAGGCGCTGGAGAGCGTGGGCCAGCGGTTGAAACGAGTGAGGAAGCGTGGGGGTGCAACAGGTGCATCAAAGAGGCGAAGGGTTGTGGACCACGACCACACAGCTACCAACGACCCAGCGGCAACCGACAATGCTGAGAGTGGGGGGACGGCCCCAGTGACAAACGAGCAAGGCGGAGGTGCAAGGGACAATGACCAGGAAGAGCGGAGGGAAGACACTGGAGCTGAGGAGAAGACATCAGAGATGGCTGCATAATTGGTGTGGAGTCAATGTGTGGTTGAAACATGTCCGTGCACGTAGTTGCTCACCCTTGTGTAGCTTTCGGATAATGTTGCATTTGGAATGAAGAGTCTTGTGCGTGCAAAGTATGAACGACAAACACCGTTAGCTGGTAATGCAATCGTGAACTTGGTGTACTACATGTTTAAGTGAGTAAGGGCCTCAACGAATACCGGAACCAGTTCCGTGACGAGTGTCCACACAATGAAGGTATGTGGACAATGTTGTGACCACATGATGTGCGCAGTGTATGGTTCGGGGGTGGACACCCGTCAATGTGCGAGTGACGTGGTGTTCTGTAATTGGGGGTTTTGGATTGCGGTCATCCAGATGTGTACGAGGCAGTATTGGGTACCAACCTCCTCATGTATTCGGTGCAGCGGAGTGTCATGGAAGCTGAGCATCTCACCGCTACGTAGAAAAGTGGTTATCGCGTCATTATGTGCGCATCTCACTGGATACTTCAGTTGCTTCAATGGATACCTCAATTGCTTCTGAGGATACCCGAGCTGGGGGACGCTCCCGTCGTGTCTCGCTCCCGCCTGCGTACCTGCGAGCGTCATACCAGTTGACGATGCCGCGAGGTCGACTGTCCAACGGGAACCGTGGGGCGCCCTTACCCAAGAGCCTGAGCTTCCGCAAGAAGGGGAAGGAGGTGGTGCAGCCAGAGGAAGGTATGCATTACGATCATGAGTGGATCAGTCACGACGTTCGCGGCGGTTGTTGCGCGCGTATGCTAACTTGCGGTTCTGTGCGCCTGTTGTCATTCTGTCACCCACAGATGACGGCACTGGGGCGGAGAGTGCAGATTCGTCCGAGCGCAGCGAGGATGAGGACGAGGAAGGCGGAGACACGTCGGCATCAGGATCAGGCGAAGAATCAGCCGAGCCCGCTAAGGGGGGGAAGACGGACGACGATGGGCGTGCGGGACCATCCGCGGCCAACGCTGACACTCGCGCTAATCACGACGTGGACGGACTGGTGGGACCCACACGCTGGGACACAGTGGACGCCAACAGCGATGACATGCGCATACCGAGCCGTATCCTCGAGCAACTCATTCAGGCTCAGGACAAGAGCGCCAAGGAGAACGCGCGGTTGGAGGCGCTGTTCTTGAATGCGATGTCTCGGCCGTCCAGTGGCTCTCATAAGCGTAAGGCGACCAGGCAGAGAGACCCGGGGCAGGGTTGTATGAACCCGAAGCGTAAGCGTGGCGAGACGTGGAGTGGCGGGTCAGACGATGACGGCGAGGACGACGATGACGACACACATGGATCTGGTGGCCGTCATATGCGCACGGCCAAGTCTCCTATTCTGCAGCGCGCCTTGGAGCATTTGCCTGCGGACAAGGCGTGGAAGGTGAGCGGGCCCGTTCCCGTCCGGTTCCATTATTCAACCGTCATGCATACCGGTGTGCGCCACTCATGTTGTTGTGTATACCTTATGTGCGCAGCGGGTGTGCGAGCTGGCCAGGGTGCACATGTTTCTCAACAGGCCGACGTCGATGATGACCTTCTACCCGAGCAGCGACGACAAGACACACGGGGTGTGTGCGGTGCTGGACCGCCTGCCGCATAGCTTCGCCTGTTTGGCGTTGGCGGCTGACAAGTCGCGTCGCGCTGATCTCAACAAGACACTCTCTGAGTGGAAGACGCGGGCTGCCGCCTGCGTGCGCGACATTGCACTTCCCAAGCTCGGCTTGTTCCGCGACGATCGGGACGCATCCAGCCCATGGGCACCGGAGAAGGAACGCAGTATTGAGAAGATCCGAGAGCGCATTGGGTTCGGCGCTGACCCCCCTGGTGAGTGCGGTCTACCCCAGCAACCAGGCTTGCCACCGCATCGTTATGCTGTCACCCTCGTGCGTGACGGCCGTTGACACTGACCTGCATGCACGTGGGAATGCAGAAACACTGGTGCTCACGACATGGGCGACAGACCGGGATGGCATGCCGTTCGCCTCTCGGGCGTTCGCGACATGTGCGAAGGCTGCATTCAGGCCCAAGAAGGCCGGCCTGGTGATGACGCTGAAGGTGTACCACCTGGCCTGGTTGGAGCATGTGGTGAGTCTGTGCGCTCTATGTGTGCCATGCATCTGTGTTGTTTACGTCGGACCATTTGAGTGACACGATGCGTGATGGCGCAGGTCTCCGACTGCGTCCTCTACTGGGAGCAGAGGAAAGGCCGGCTTTCCAACTCGGCCGGCGGAAACGCCCACGTTGTGGACGGCCTCAAGGTCCTGGTTAAGGAGGCCGTGGAGAGGGCGATCAGGATCCGCAACCCGGAGTATGACGCGGAGCGGGAGGCGTGGATCTAGGGGCGCCATGGTCTGCGCATCTCTGCGTGCGGCCTGGAGCACATGAGGTCCGCCGGCGCAGCCCAGCCGGAGGAGCCAGTGGGGGACGACGACCTTTCGGCATCCGTGGGGGATGAGTAGGACGGCTGGCGTGGAGGGGATGGGGGAAGCGTGGGTTTTACCGTTGCGGGGACAGTAGATTGGCTGCGTGTGTACGATGATTTGCGGCTGTGTGACAGGGTTATGTGTAGCTGTGGAACGCGCACCTGGGTTAAGCATGTGTCAGTGTTGAAGATGTGGGGGGGTTAGACATAGGCGTGGAGGCGTTGTATGTTTGTGTGTGCGTTTGTTGTTAATGGGAAAAGCTTCAATTGGGGTATTGCTCGCATATGACAGCACATAACAGAAACTATATGGTGCATGCCACAGCGAACCCGCCGTCGCCCAGATGTGCGGGACGGAGAGGGATGCGCCGCATTCTGCGGCGAATTTTACGGTGTGTGCCATGTGTCACCTGTACGTTGGACGTAAAGGACGCAGCGGTGCGCGTAAGTGGACATCTGGTTGGACCGCAACAAGGCTAAGGGATGACGTGGAGCCAATGGTATGGGAGGGTGGCACGCGCTTGTACACCCGTGTCACAATCGTGGACGAGCGTGAAGATGAGGCCGACGGTGGGATGTGCGCTGTGATATGCTATACGGGTGCGACAAATGCACGGTTGTGAGTGGTTCGCGCATACGTCGCAAACGTGAGCCACGATGGGTAGGGCAACCGGTTACCGTTTGTGCGATTGCATGATCGGGTTGCAAGTGTACGGGTAAGATGGATTAATTGTGCGTGACGTGGAAGGTCGGTGGTGTTTACGATGTATACAGATGGACGACGCAGGTGTCGTCGTCATCTAGTTGCGAGCGCAACCCTAATGGTAGGCGAGACTTTTCGCGAAGTGCACGAAACGGTGGCATTGGTTCAGGTGTACGGTGTTTATGCATTGGCGCGTCTGGTGCGGACGCACGATGCGCAAGTGGAGTGAGGCCGCGTGGATGAGGGGTAGTGGCTACCGTTGGCGTGATATGCGGTTTGCTGCCCTATGGGATGCATCCAAATGTACGGTGTGGGAAGGATGCTTGACCACCAGATGTACGGTGCAGATCGGAGCGCGGTGAGCTTGCAAGGCTGTGCGAGTTTGTGTGCGCGAATGCGTAACGTGCTATGCGAGTTTATGTACATGCGACACGTGTACCGTAGTGATTGCGTGACCAGGGTGTCCATCCAACGGTTGTGGTTGCTGTACGTTTTGCTGCATGTACGCTTACGTGGACGTGGGAGTTGAAACAGTATGCCACGTGGGGAAGCCCGTACGGATTGGCAGTTGGGGTTACGTGCTCGTCGCTTTCGAGTTGGTTGACACGGTATGGGCAGGTGAACATTTGGGTGGAGCAGCCCGTGACTGTTTAGCATGTGCGCAGATGCGGGTGGCGTTGCTAAACGGTTGACTGAGTTTGTGCAGAAAGGCGCGGGAAAGTGACTCGGAAGTTACTACGCCAGTGACTGTCGCCACGCAGTTCTAAAACCTTGACTCAAAAGTGCCGGGGGTGTACTATCGGGTAAGTTGTGCAAGAGTGTATTCAGGGCTACTTTCCGCACTTCCCAATTTCGCGATGTACATGTACCTGGAAAATCTATTGCGAATTTCTATTAATGAGTTCGGGGACAGAGATTGGACCAGCTCCATCACCGAAAGCCTCATCGGAACTCGGTCGTCGGGACGGATTTGCCTGTGTCGTCGAGGGGGGTCATCGGAGCCGAGAATGACGAGGCGGGCGACTGACGCGCGTGCGGGCCCGCCAGCCTGGCCCAGGGCTGGGCCGAGCGCACGACCGCCGCCCCGCAGCCCCGCTCCGAGAGTGAACAGCGGCCCACGTTACCGGGTGGGGTCGGCGAACTGGCGACCCCTCGCGCGAGGGAAAGTAACCCTCGCGCGAAGGCAGCCCAACCGTGCCACCTGCCCGCGACGTCCTAGTAACCCATCGCGGCCTGCCCGGACGGGCAGGCGAGGGCCTGGCGAAAATTCGGGCCCCCCCTCGGGACACTCGACAACTTCGCGACCCGATGCGGTGACGACACGTGTTCGCCCGCCGTTTCGCATCGGGCGCATGCGGTATTTCGGGCGTAGCGAAATCGATTCCAATCGCTTCGCGGCGCATGCGAAATTGCGTCCCATGGCCGACCGAGGCCAAGGGACGTGACATCGACTTGCTGGCTCGGCGGCGAACGAGAAATTGTGCCACTTGTGCACGAGCCCGCCAAACCCTGCCGAGCCAGGCACCACGAGCCCTGGGCGATGCCTCAACCTCCCTGTGGGGTGTTGGGCTGAGATAGCCCCTTAGGATCTTTGCAAGGGATAACTCTAGGTGAAGTAGTTGTAATAGCGGAAGCGTTTAGTGAAGAATTTGAACCGACCTTGCACTGGTGTGTGAGAGCAAAGTTGATTGAATTAAACAAGCAAATACAAGGATTTATATAAGAGTACAGGGAATAGATAGATAACTGTATTGCTGTTGCGGTTCGATATAGCGCGACTCGGGCAACTGCTCTGTAACGAGTCAGTTGTGTGTCCTTAACTGTCGCGCTGTAATTGTCGAGTCAAAGGTCAGCGACCTTTGACTTTCTCGTG